GAAGCTGCAGGCCACCAAATCCAACTCTGTCAGTTCCTAATCAAATATTGAGATGAAGATAATATGCTGTCCAAAAATCAGCTCAATCGGATAAGAAACGAATCGGGAATCGCAATTTGAAGTTGGCTGTTATAGCTGAAATTTGACTGCGAAAATCTGCTCTTTTTCTCTCTTTTTGGCTGCTAAAAAACTCTCTGTGTGTCTGAAAATAAGACCCTAAATAGGTTTATATTTGCCTCATAAGAATGGGCCTATGGGCAAAAATGGGTTGGTCCAAATTGGGCTTTTATTTATCCACATAGGAAGGGAAAAAAGACCCATAACCCAACACTCATTGTGTTTATTTTTTTGCAGCCAAGTGATGCGGCTGGTGATCCATTTTCCTCCATGGACACAAGATCGTCTGGTGATAAGTGTTTGTAGTGGAAACTTAAAAGTGTCTCATAATCTTATTAGTTAATTCATTTCTAATGTAATTGTATTATTGTATGGCATAAGTAAACTCTCCCAGTCAAATGATATACAAACAATTCATATTAAAAATGTGAAGGGTTCTCTCTTAATTTTTTTAATTGTTGGCAACAGTTGTTTACTTGTCTTAGCTGCCTGCTTGCTCAGTTGTTTTTTTCTTTGTAAATTTATGGTTGTTTAAACTATTATTGACCTACTCAGCTTCAGGTTTTCATTAAAGTGAACTGTTTCACTGATGGTAAAATTGTAGAAGATAATTATATTTCACAAGTTCTGGCGGTTTAAACCCCCACTACTTTTTTATCACTATTTCAGAGGTTGAGGCTCAACCGCTGGAACTTAAATTATAGTTCTAGTAATCAATTTGCGGTAAATAACCCCCTCTTCTTGTTGCTGGGGTTAGTGAAGAACTCCCACAGCCTAATTGTGACAGACCTATTTGTGGGAGTTTTTAAACCTATGCTATAGCAAATCGCGGGGTTTCTAAACCCTGTAGTATATAAAATTAAACCCCTGTGATGTAGGCATTTTTTTTTATAGTGAGAATAATTTTATCTCTTTTAAGATAACCAAATAAGTACTATATTTGATCATAAACTCTTGTGAGCCTTACCATTATGTAGTTCACTATCAACTATATCAGATTTTTAGAAGAATTGATCAAAATAAGTCATTCTATAAATCAATTCACCAAAATAGTATGTTTTTAATTTTGTTTACAGAACTAGTATAAACGTGGTTCACAGTAACGTTTTATGCTTTATTTTATTTTAAAAAATTTAATGAAAAAAAAAAGCAAAAGTTCACGGAGCAAACAGAAATAATACGTTATTGACAATAATATTTTTATACTTCGTTATCTAGAATCACGTTTTAGAGCTAAAACGTTACTTAAAGTAATGTTTTTATATTTTAGTACGTTTTATCCCGTCACGGGTGCAATTAAAGAATCGAATCCTGTATTTTACAGATTATAAAACGTAACTGACAATCACGTTTATTATATAAAACGTAACTGTCAATCACGTTTTATGTTTATTTAATCACGGGGCACCGGATTAAGAATAAAATCCTGCTACATTGGAATCTTACAGATCATAAAATGTTATCACTGATCACATTTTTGCATTAAATCGTGACTATCAATTACGACACTATGTTAAAGTTAATTTTTTTCTTTTTTTACTGACGACAAATAGTTATAAAATGAACCTTGTTGAAACAAATGTTCTAAACACTCCAACAATATTCATTCAAAAAAAATTTTGTGTAGCCCAATTTTGAAACAATATTTACAAAGGTATGAATTAAATAAGTCAAGTCAATGTATCATATTGTGTTATTATTTTTCATAGCTTTCAAATATTTTTCTAATTTATTACTTAGAAAGATGACTTATTTTTATGTGTAGGAATAAAAATGGCAAATTATGAACATAATGTGATGGTTGCTTTGTACTAGGGTGGCGAAATAATTACTGAAATGAACGGATGCAGGCATACTGAATGTGCTTGAATGATTATTAACATGTATACTTCAATGAAGTATGTTGAATTGGTTGAATTATTGCATGAGAAAATGGGTACAACTAGTGAAAGTATTCAAATGGATATTTCGGGAAAATATTCTTATTCGATTCAAGGTAACCATACAAGTTCATTGAGTTTAAAATTGATGATGATCAATCTTTGCTATAATTTTTTATTATACCTCAAAACTTTGCAGATAAGATTGACATAAATGTTTTGGAAATGTATGTAAAGACCAAATCAACAAATCAAAATGATATATTTCAAATTAGTGGTCAACATGGTTATCACATGAATTTATTGTCTCAAAATTATGGAATTGTCACGGTTAGCCAACCTCATTATGCAGAGCCGATTGCTCAACCATCATTTCAACAATTGTTAATGCATGACCAAGGACTATTTGGCGAAGGTTTAAGTAGCCAAAGACACGTTGACAATAGTTCGAGAAAATATGAGGGCAGGTAAAACAACAAATTTATGTTTTAATAAATTTTAATATAATTAGTTGATAACACAATTTTACTCATTATAAATATACATATATAGATAGATAGTGATATTTTTTGTGATTAATTACCTTAACTTTTTTAAGGAATAACCTTATGGAGAATAAATTACTGATTTTAAAACAAGCTTCTATGTATCATAATTTTCTAAAATTTAATTGAACTTCTTTTTCCACAGAGAAAATGAGAACAATGTTGATCCATATAATGATGTAAATGCTTAAATTAGTGAAGAATGTTCGGAGGGAGATGAACCTTCAAAAGATGATGGTGAAAGTGAATCAGATGAAGATATCAATAATGCTAGAGATTTTTCTCAAAATGACATTGGTATAAATCTTCCTAATCAATTTGACCCCTTGGTAATGTAGCACCATGTGGACCCCTTGGTAAACCAACAGGAAAAATATTCCTTGTATCTCTTTTTGCTACAATCTGAGGCGTAAGGACGGTAACTCTCTCCCATGCCCAAATCTGGACATAATAGATAATTATAAACTAGATAAAATTTCAATAAATACTAAGTGTAATTATTGCTACAACAGTGTACTACTTTCACTTACCAAAGATTTGGTAAGAGTGGCAAGGGTCAACCTACATCAACATTAAAATCTGAATTTTGACCAAAATAAGTTTCTATAAATCAATTCACCAAAGGAAAATAACAAATTCATCAACTATAAGATAAACTAAATCAATGTATGACAAAATTACCTGAATCACAAAAAGAACTCTTCTTTATCAAAGTTTTTTTTACCTTTTTAAAGCAGATCTGCAGCCGTTTTCAAAGTTTTAAAAATTTCACCTCCTCTTTTCAGATACAACATTCTTCAACTCCATTGTGCCTTTGGAGCGAGATTTGATGCTAGTTCTCTTCATCCCTTGTAACTTGAATGTAGGTTTGGAGAATGAAGTGGGTTTTCTTGGAGGGTTTTCTTCCCCAATTTGTCGTTTTGGTCTCAGCCGAGTGCCGGCGAGTTTGGGGAAATATGGGTTGCAATCGAGTGCGATAATACCTTTTATCTTTCTCGTTTCAAAAAAAAACACAGAGAAGAGGGAGAAAGAGGAGAAGGGGCTAATTTATGTTTTACGCTTCAATGGAAAAAGGAGTTTCTTCCCCAATTTTATATAACTAAATTGGGGGTTTTTTGTTCTAGTGTAGGCATAATATATGCTTAAAACGTTATTCCCAATAACGTATTAGAGTTAAAACGTAATTTCCAGTTGCGTATTATTATTAAATTATATATGCTTAAAACGTTATTCCCAATAACGTATTAGAGTTAAAACGTAATTTCCAGTTACGTATTATTATTTAACGTCGTTAGCAGACCGTCCCTTTTCTCATTAAATTTTTTAAAATAAAATAATTTTTTTAAAAAATAAATAAAGTATAAAACGTTACTGTGAACCACGTTTATACTAGTTTTGTAAACAAAATTAAAAACATACTATTTTGATGAATTGATTTATAAAATGACTTATTTTGGTCAAAAATTCCAGATTTTTATGAAATGATATTTTGTACAACTGTACAAGTACAAGGTGTAGTAGCTTAATATAATTAAAGCACCTTTTATTGTCTATTGCTTCAAAGAGAGAGGCTATAGCTATGAAGCAGGGGCGGACCCAGTAAGCCAGACGCGGGTGCTCGAGCACCCATTGATTTCCGAAATTTTATATATATATATATGTATATATATATATAGAAAATATGATACATATATTATTATAATTTAAACGAGCAGCCATAGAACAAAAGCAGTTGTGGGTGAGCTGGTTTAAACCTCCTCAATAAGAGGCGTGCGCACCAACAAGCGAGGGTTTGAATCCCACCAGTAGCATTTATTTTTTTAAAAAAATTCCACCGAATTTTATGTTAAAGGAAGTGAGCACCCACAACCTTTAAATCCTGATCCGCCACTGCTATTAAGTCATGCCACAAGAAATTTTTACTTGTTCATTATTTTAAAAATTAAATCTTATTTTTACATATTAATTTTAAGTTATTAAGAAAAAAATTATTTTACGCTCAATATTAATTATTTATATTCCCTTTATTTTCAATAGCTAAAATTATACATCAATTAATCATTATTTTTTTTTAAATAATACGTAAAATTGAAGTTGAACAACGAAAAGTGAAGGTGGGATTATATGCCACGCAAATAAGCAAATTAAATCAATGAAAACCTAAAATAGTTTGGTCACATTTGATCCTCCTGTAGCAATTTTTGTATTTTTAGGCTCTCGAAAACGGGTTTTATTTATTTATTGTTCTAGTTTAATTTTTTCTTGTATAATGCCAATTTATTTATTTATTATTCTAGTTTAAATCAACTTTTGTTTTAAGCGATAAGTGTTGGGTGTTGCCTTCCAATCGAACATTGGCAAGTGAGGCTGTAGACATTAATCAATTTACAATATCAATAATGGAGTTAAATTTTTATACAAATCAGATTTCCTTTTAATTTAATTTTTTTTCAAAGCTAATCTTTAAATTTTATGAAAAATTGTGTCTTTTAAAAAAAGATGAGACTTTTATGAAGAGTTGTCATTTTTAAATATTTTGCCTTTATATGAAAGGTTGTAACTTTTCTAAAGAGTTGTAATTTTTCCAAAAAGTTGCGACTTTTATTAAAGGTTGTGACCTTTCCAAAGGGTTGTAATTTTTCAAAAGAGTTGTTATTTTTTCAATAAGACAAAATAATCATTTGTTTGCACTATCCTTTGTTGTCTATAAATAGGGGATTTTTCTCTCATTTTAAAACAACGAAAATTTTGAACTTCTTCTTCTTCTTTTGGACAATCAAATTGCTCTGCACTTTGCTCCTGTTGAATGACTCACTAACATCATTGTTTATATATCAACGCACTAGTGAATAGAATAGTTATATCTTGATATGATTTAATCCTTTAAACATCGGGTACGAGAGGAGAATAACTCCCTTAAGGGAACACTGTGCATTCAACGGATATCCTAGTACTTTTTTACATACATTAATTTATGCCTATATTATAAATTTTTGTTTTGAATACTTGCTTTAAAATTTGTTGTCTATTTTTATGCAAAGTTATTGTTATATATTTGTTGATACAAATTAAGTAACAAATGTTAATTGCGTGTTGAAGTAACTTTTCTCTATTGAAATTGTTGAAGATACAATTTAAAAAATCCTTACAAATCAATAATTTCTTCATCAACAACATTACTTCACATACAAGGATGTCATTTTGGGTTTTTCAAAAAACCTTTGCCAGTTAATAAATTTGCATGTCAATATTTTTATTTTTATGTTGTTATTATGTATTTTACTAAATTTATCAGTGGATATCATGAGGACATTAAGGATTGAAAGTTAATTGAAGTGTTAGTCATTTTTTATGGTATATTATTTCATAACGTAGGAACTTTTTTTGGTTAGAATGCTTCGTTATCATCATTGGATATCTCATAGTTTACCCCCTTTTAATGTAGTTTTTTTCTCATTGTTCAATTGTTTTCTTACAATTGTATTGATTAATTTTCTTTTGGTATTTATGTTATCTCACTTGGACAAAACTTTTCGTTCTTTTAATGTTTTTCTTTTTTTTCCTTCTCATTCGGCTCTTCAAAATATTTTTTGTGTGAGTTATGAATATTTTTGTTCAACATAATTTGAAAAATATGAAATAAAACAGACTCTAAATAAAAGTAATATCTTAATGTCTATTAATATAGATTTGATGTCCTTCTTGTACCAAGTCATTATTGAGTGTTTGAGTTATCTAAATTAGACTCATTTTTAATTTTTAAATATTGGAGAATATTTATTTAGCATGAGTCTAGAATTCAACATTTTTATCTACTTGTACTTTTAGAATGCAATTATTATACTTACATATTTCTGAACAAGTCGTAATATTGCATTGATGACACATCTAGAAGCGCTTTCAGAGTATCACTTTATTGAAGAATGAAATTCTAAAAGGGACAACAATATTATTTTGTTGTTGGTTCAAATTTATTTTACTTCTATAAATTTTGGTAGAGTAACCAAGTAACAGTAACAAAAAGTGGTGAATGTTTGACATCGCAAAATAAAAAAAATTATTTATGTTGTTGTAGTGTACATTTTTTAACAGTCTGAACTTATTTATAACTAATATTGATTATCGAAAACTTTCAAATATGTTACTGGGGGGGTGCGGAATTCATCATAAAGTAAGATATATATTTTATAGAATGTTGGGGGTGCGGAATTCATCATAAAGTAAGATATATATTTTATAGAGTAAAATATATTTTATTTAGAGTAAAATATATTTTATTATAAAGTTCTTTTGATAACTGTTCTAATCTAAATATTTCTTTAATATTATTTATTATATATTCTATGTATAACATATCTTGAGATCTTTGGTACATGTATAAATTTTCTTGTATTAATTGTTTTAATAATCTTATATTTTTCATAGTTTCTATCCAATATTCTAGATAGTCAAAGTTCATTTTAATCTAAATCTATTTCTAAATCGTATATTATCTATTCTTTCTATATCTAATTTTTGTGAATCTATTTCATACCATTCTTGATTTAATATGTCTTCTATATCATGATCAAATATTTTTTCCCATCTAATTCTTTTTTTAGGTCAACAATTTCTATATCTTTAAGTATATATAAGATCAAAGTTTTATAACTTTTTATTTCATCATACATTGTAATCATGTTTATTTATTTATGCAAGTTTGTTTTCAATTATTCCTTCCTATCATATCATAATTCAATTAAATTCATATTAGTTTATTATAAACTAGATTATCGTTATCATGTTTTTCGGTCACTACTAGCATCGTACTTTTGCGGATAATTACTGCTTATCAGCGCTTCAACCTTGTGTATTCCCCTAACGGCATTCCTCGCCTACCGGTTTCCACTGTGGGATGGCATAGTCTAGCAGTTTTCTCCCTGTTTCCCGTTTACTAGCAAACTAGAATTCATGATTCAAATATTTCTAGTATATAATAACTACCACAAATTTAAACAATCATATATATGATAATCAGGAATATATGAAATTAGTTCTGCATAATTGTTAAACAATATACCTTTGTCTCTTGATTTTTCATGCTATCTAAAATATCTGACTTGATTTCGAATTTCTCCATTTTTTAACTTAGTTTATATCTTGAGAGAGATTTTTGAAAGGGTTTTTATTAACTTAAGCTTTTGTTTGGCATTTCGTGCCTTTCATTTACAATATGGCAATCTATATATACTAAATTCTAAACCTGCATATAAGTGCGTCTACTGTATACTTTACGACTTTTTAAACAAAACTTTACAAATGGCCGGCTATACACATTGGTCTTTCAAAAAAGTAAAAGCTATTTTCTATACAAAGGAATCTTATCTCTTATTTTTACATTTTTTCAAAGATATTTATCCCTTTGTCTGCTACCTTTTTTTTTTTTGTCTATATCTATCTTTATGTCTTTTTCTTCTTTTGTCTTTGTCGTCATTTTTCTTTGTCTACTATGACTCTTTTTCTTCATCCTTATCTTATTTTGCATTCTTATCTCTTCATCTTTATTCCAAATCAACATCTGGTATAACGTTATCTTCTCCATTGCATTTAGAACATCTGTGATATGGGTATTTGTGTCCAATAATTTTACAATATCTAATTAATAAGTCTTCTGAAATATATTCTTTCTTTAATGCTCGTGTTGTAGGTTGTTCCTCTGGCATTAGTAATGATAAAATCCATCGCTGAACTTCATCCATATCTGCTCTTCTTAATTCCCTTGAGTTTGAATATATCATAACTTGATCTCTAGCATAATAGCTCCATATGACATTTTCATTTAAATAATTATTTGCTAATTCGTGTACGATAGTTGATATACCAATATTCTTTTATTGGCATAAAAACTTGATATTTCTATCTTTGGTATTTCATTCTGATGCCCAATATCTTCTGGTATGATCATATCTTTTGTTAATCCTATCTTAATAACTTGAATTGGAGATTTTACCTCTTCATATAATATTTCTGCTGGTGCTGTATAAAACTTAATATAAAATAAGTTTCCTTTTGTAACTCTTTTATATGTAATAAATGCTTTGTATAACTCTTGTACTCTAGTTTTTGGTTGTGCTATAAGTCTATTGTATCCGTGCAATTGTTGAGTTATATAGTCTTGACTTGGATCTTTTGTTTGGTTAGATCTGGGGTTGAGATTTAAATAAGTTTGAATTCTATATATATTTTCAATGTAGGTTTGTGTAATATAATTGTAACTTTTCTTTTCACTCTGATTTTGTATACTCACTGCATAGGTAGAAGTTTGTGGTTCTATGTGTATTTTTTTTGGTGTATTTTGAATAAATGGTTTTGCAAATAATTGGCTTAAATTTATATTTTTTGGTTTTTCACTAACTTTTCTGCTTGTACCTGCAGCTTAATTTAAACAAACATTATGGGTTTTAGGGAGTTTCCCATCGTCTCCTTTTATCTCTGGAATTTTACCGTCTTCCGATCGACGTAGCTCCGCATTTTTATAGTCATGCTGCTGACTTATATTAGCTTTAGACTTCAGGTTATCTTCATTAGTCTTTAGCTTTTGTATCTCATTGTCCATACTATCCACTTTAGTACAAAGTGTAGTAATGGCTTTGAGTAGCTTTTCAATTGTATCTTCGTCTTTGTTTTCAGTTTGAGTAGCTTTGTCTTGATAAGTAGTCTGCAATACCATTCTTATTAGTCTTTATCACTTCAATTGTAAATGAAAAGTTTAATATATTTAATACCAATCTTCTAATTTCTTTCGTTGTTACTGAATCTTGTATTTTTCTGGTTAGCCACCATTTTACTTGTGTATTATCTGTTCTTATACTAAATTTGTTATATACAATATATGGCTCAAATTCTAATAAACATTTATATACTGACAATAATTCTTTTGTAAGGATTGTAATTTTTTTTTGTATCTAATTGTTCATTCGAGGTTATTATTTTTTGTACTATATGCGTTTGCATTTTTATTCCATTTTTATCTATTTGTATTCCTAGGAATTCTATTGTTTTTCATTATTTCTGCTTTCTTTTAACATAAACTTATTTCTGAGTGTTGTATTATACGTATAAATTTTTCTAATAATCTTATGTGTTCATCTTGTGTTTTAGAATATAATAATATATCATCAATATATACTACACAATTTTCTAGTTGTTTAAAATAGTTATCCATAAAATGTTGCAATCTACCTGGTGCATTTTTATATCCAAATGGTAATACATTTCATTCATAAAATTCTTGTGGTACTGTGGATGCTGTAAGTTTTATAGATTCTTCTTTTAACTTTAAATGATAAAATCCTGATTTACAATCAAATTTACTAAAGTAATTATATCCTTGTATTTGTTTCATCTTTAATATTTTATTTGATATTGAATGATTATATATTTTAGTTTTTGCATTTAAATTTCCATAATCAATTATCATTCTACTTTTTCCTCTTTTTTGTTCACTATATTTATTAACATTAAATACCGAAGTTGTATGTTTTCTATTACATTCTTGTATATATCCACTTTTTAGTAATTCACTTATATTTATTTTAAAATCGCTTAAATCATTAAAATTATATTTTAATGATTTTTGTGTTATTATACTATTTTCATTAATCAGTTCAATTTTAACTTCTGTTTTATGTTTTTCCCTTCCTTGTAAAGGATCTTAGTTATATAGTAATTCTTATTTTTTCTTGGATTATTTTTACTTTATCTATGGAAAATATAATTAATTCTATTCTAGGGTCTTCTTCTTTTATATTTTCTAATTTTTGTGTAATTTTTTCACTGTCTTTAATCCATTCTGTTATTTTTCTTTTTTTGTTACCTACTCTTCTTGCTCCTATCTTTTGTTTACATGTTGTTGTGAACCACCAGTATGTTTTTGTTATTATATGTGGATATACTTTTTCTGAAAATGACGTTCCTAATAACATATCCTTTGTTGTTAATTCAAAATTATATATTTCGTCTACAGTTAATATTTTATCCCATATTTGTATTTTTATATTTTTTTGCCTTGTATGTGATCATACTTCCTTCATTATTAAATCCTGTCACTACTATTGGTGTTTTTAACTTTTCCCATTTTTCTTCTCGTAAATAATTGTATTTACATATATTAGCTTCTGCTCCTGTATCTATCATTGGTGTATAATATCTGTTATAATATCCTTCTATTATTATCTTCGCGAGTATATATATTTTCATATATATATTTTTATATTAAAGTCCTTTTTGTTATGACTTTTTTTATTTTGATAATTCATCGTTAGTTGTTTATCCTCTATATTATATGGTTTTACTTGTTCTAGTCATTTTATTCCTAATGTTATATTTTCATTTCCTTGATATATTTTAAATTTTATTATCATTGGTATACCTCCAATTACTATTTCTTGTTTCGGTGTTTCTTCAATATTTATTAATACTTTTGGTAATTCTGAACATGAGTATTCCGTAGTTATTATTTTATCTTCCATTACTAACTCTCTTGTAATATAACTTTCTTCTTGTCCTGTATTTATTAGTATTAAATATTTTCTTTGCTCCATTATTTCTGTTATATAATAATGATGTGGTTTTATTTCTTCTTCTATTAATTTTTGTGAAATTATATTTATTGTTTTGGAACTATTTGAAGTACTCATTTTTTATGATGTTTGTGGTATATCATTATTATTTATTCTTTTTGATATGCTTAGTCTTTCTTGATATGCTTAGTCTTTCTTGTATTATCTATAGCCGTAACTATTTTTTCAAAGGGGTTTTCTATTTTTATTTTTTTATTTTATTTTTTGCTGTTATTTTATGTTTTATTGTTAAAACATATAAATTCTTACATCTGGCTGTAAATATTTGATATCCATGTGCTGGTTCTATTCTTGACATTTTCCAATATAATACTAATGATTTATATATGTTTCTGTCATTAATTGCTACTGAGTAATTAGCACTTATTATAAATTTAAATTTTTGGTATATTAAATTACCTTTTAGTGCACTTATTATACTTTTTTCTATAGGTTGTATAATTCTATCCTCTGTTAAATATATTTCTATAGGTTTATCTATTCCTTCTCTAAAACATGCTTTATTAATATTTAAGTTCCTCCTAAATTTACATATTTAATTGTGTTTTTTGCATTTATTTCTTGTATTTCTTTATTAATTATTCTCTTATTTATTATTGGTATTTTAGTTTTTCCTTTGGTATATTTACAATCTATGATATGTTCTCTTTGGCTTACTACATAATATTCTTCTTTTATCTTTTAAATCAATTTTTTATTTTTGGTACTTCTAATTATTTTTTTTACACTTAAATGTGATTCTTTTCCTTTTATTTGTTCAAATAACTATTATCAAATATTTTTTGTTCTAAAGTTTCTTCATCTTGACATTCTTCTTTATTTATTATTTGCATATCTGCTTCAGTCATTTATATTATAAAATTCATTATCTGATTCTAATTCTATGTCATTATCTATTTCATTTTCTGATATTTCATATATACTATCTTCACTTTCTAAATCATGATCGACATATTCTATTTATGTATATTTTTTATTTTCCATAATTATTTCTGATATCTGTTTTCTCTTTGAATTTTAAGGTAATTTACCTTCTTTAGCTATATGTCCTAATTTTCCACAATTATAGCAAGTACATTCCGTCAATTTTCTTTTTGGTCTAAATGGTCTTTTAGTTTTGTAATTTTTTACATAATATCTCTTTCTTGATTTTTTATATTTATATGTTGATCTATATTTTTTATAATTTTTATTTCTATTATACTTCTTTTTATAATATCTATCTGTACAACCAAATTGAGGTGCTATTTTATTTTTACAACATGCTAAGTTTTTTACTAAAAGTTTTTCCATTTTTACATCTTCTTTATGTTTTTTCACATAGTTCTGTAAACCATCGTTGTAAGAATTTCATTCTAGCTCCTAAAGAATCTGTTAATTCTGCTTCATTTCAACTTTTTATTATTTTTGAACTAAAAGGTTCTGGTAATTTTGTAAAATATAATTTTCTTATTTCCTTACTTTCTTCCATGTTATATGTTCCTTTATAATAATATTCTCTAAATGCACATGTATATTCATCTATATAACACATATTACATATTGCCAATTTTGCCATTAAATTTCTATTTATAACTTTTTTTTATTTTGTTCTTCTACTTCTGTTGTCATACTACTAAATTCATTTCTTATAGCTATTTAATATTTAATATTTCCATAGATAGTGTAGTTGTTTCTCCATTAAATTTTTTATTATTTCTTAAAGTCTTTATACTTTCTTCCGTTAAATTTTGTAACAATTATTAAACTGTTCCTACAAGTGTTCTTTCTATATATCCTGGTGTTTCTCTCATTCCTATTTTGTTATCTATTAATTGTTTTGATATATTTCCCATCCATAATTAAATTATTTTATTTATATCTACTACACAGTCTAAATCTTAAAATTTGTGTTGTTCAGTTGTAGGTCTAGGTGTCCATTTATTTAATCTCTTATCCCATAAAATTTTTTCTTTATCATATTTTTCATAACTTACATTATAATATGTTGGATTGAAGTATTTTGGATTTTTTACTCTTGATGTACTAGGTTTTTCATTCATGTCTATATCTCCCGTATTTATATCTACATTTTTTGTAATATCTATATTGTCTAAAAGTTTTGTATATGTTTCACTTATCTCTGAGTGTTGTTCTTCTAAATCATCGTTGATACCATCACTCTTACTTCTGGCAGATTAGTTAGATTATGTTGATTACTTTCTTCTGATTTATCTTCTAATTGCAATCTTTCTTTAAATTTGTTTATCTCATTTGCTAATTTTCTTTTCGGTTTTTTTCTTTTTGTTTTATTTCATTCATTTTTTTCAACACTGCTAATTCTTTTTCTAATTCTAAAATTTCTTTATTTTTTACTTCTTCTATTTGTTGTACTTCTTTTTTTCACTTGATGTTTTATTTTTTCAATTTCCATTTTTCTATCTATTTCTTCATTTTCTTTTGCTATCCTCACCATAGCAGTTAAAGTATCTTCTAATTTTACCATTTCTTTTTCTAACATTAAACTTAAATTGTCACCTATTTTCTTATATCTTCTTCCTAGATTAGAAAATATTATCCTTATTTTTAATCCTTCATAGTTTTCAAATATTTTTTCGTCTATTTCATATTCTTCCTTATTCATTTATAATTTATGTTGTAGTTTATATTCTAGATTATTTATTTGTATTTCTAGATATAAAATAGTATTTCTTTGTGCTATAATAGATTTTTCACAAAATCCTGCAAATATATTAACTATTTAGTCTATTTTGTCTATATCTTAATTCTTTTCTTTTTGCCATAATTATTTTATTAAGTTTTTGTTTATATTTGTTATTCATCGTATTTTCAAATATTTAATATATTTATATTCTAATTTAGAAATAATATCTATCATTTCTTCTAATTCTTTAATATTGTTTTTTGTAATATTAAGTTGTTTATATTCTTGTCTACTTAAGGTGTGAAGGGTGCATAGGAATGGTCACTTCTTATCTTACCTAGATAAGTCTTAAGAATGAATCTAGTTAAGGAAGTTCGTTGATTATGTAAACATGATCTAAGCTTAGGTAATCTTAAGGATTATTTATGTAATCTTGAAGAGGTCACTATGAACGTTATCTTCTTGATTTACTTAAGTAAGTCTTTTGATAGCCTTTGGAAGGAGAATGTCATATCACCTATATGC